CCCCCCCAAGCACATGTGAAAACACCCTAAATATATGTCCGGTACTGTGACTCTGCCCATTTTTAGCTACCCAGTGACACAGCTTTAACAGGGTGGACAGAGGATACCTTCAGATTTACATTGCCCAGGGGCTGGCAGTTAAGGCACTTTTGCTGGACAGCGGGAGATGTGGACTCAAACCCCCCGTGGCTGAGGAGAACCTGGGTCTCTGGGTAAGTACCTGAACCACTAGATTATTAGGCTGGAAGGTGAGTGGGTTCTCCTTCTCCACCGAGACTTCTTCAGAGCCAGCTGGATCCCCACTGAAGATTAGGAGAGCTATGCATCTGAGCAGAGTAGGATTGCTCTGTGGGAGCCCATTAGGCTGCCCATTGATGATAAACGAACTATGCATCTCCCTAGGTGGATTTGGATTGCACTCTGAAGCAAAACATGCTATTTTAGGGGAAGGCATAGAGGTGGAACGGCACCGAGATATTTATTAGTCACTAAGTGTGAGTAGGTACCTGGTCACTTTTGCAAATGAGACTAAAGCACTTCAGAAGACTTCAGCCTTTCTAACAGAGATACATAACAATGACTGCTGACAGTGCTAGGAAATAGTCAGAAATTCTCATGACAAAAGCAACAGCCTTTAGGCTCATGGGAAACCTTTACTTTATCAACTCTATATATGCCAGTCCACTCAATGAGGAAGGGAAATTGTGTATTTAACTGGGAATACCAGACCTGATGTTCCCAATGAGACTGTGGCTCATCGCTAGTATTTACCTTCTGTATTGTATCAGAAAGTAAAAATTGGGGAGAAAACAACACAGCAGACTTACGCACACATTCAGTGTTGCACCTGGCTGCAGGTGGGGAAAGCATCATTCACAGTCTGTGTGATTTTACTTTAGGAAGCCTAGAGGGTGAGCAGATTGTGCACAGAAACATAAATGTTGTTGCCCTGCATTTGGGTAGGTGAGTGCTCAGTATTTGGAAATGCCCAGATCTTTTTAGACACTCACCAAGTTGTGGTTTTGAGTCACCTCACACTTGATGTTTTTGCTTCTGATTAAGCACAAAGGTCAAGTGCGATGACCTGGTGGTGGGGGGAATATGGGAATGGACAGTGGATCTCTGGAATGCTGGAGGCCCAGATCGTGCTCCGTAGAGTGGACACACGACAGGAAGCAAAATGCTTCTAGATCAACGCCCTTTGGAATGAGGTACTGTTTGGTGGCACTCCTGCACTTCAAAGGGCATGTACATCTGCAAGGAGCAAACTTTGAAGCCCTTAAAAGGCATTTGAAATGCTTCAGGTGTGACATCTGTCTGCAACCTAAACTTCCTTGGTCCATGCTCTTCCAGAGCTGTTTTCCTGAATGCTCTGGCATGCTCCATCTGTTACCTTGTATGATAATGGCGCCAAGTGCCTCAGCTCCGTGAACTAGTGCTGATCCCAGCTCCTCCTTCCAGTAATTGAAGTACTCCCTTTCTCAGAGGAAAGCACTCTTTGTTCATGGGCATCATAATGGACAAAAGATCATCAGAAT